TATAAAAATACTCAAGGACAATTCATGATGAATTCTTTAGTCTTTGAATTGCTGTTAAAATTAAAGAAAGCTCTGTTATAAATACCACTTTAATTTTTAAAAAATTAAAATTAAATTGATTTAAAATTAAAGTATTATACATACAATATAAAAATATTTATTTTATAAGGATTCTGGAAACGATCTTAAAATAATAATTTTATTGTATACGAGTTCATGCTGTGGAAAAATTCATTGGATGGGAGATGGAATTGAACCATCACGGAATGAGCCCAGACCGAAGCACAAACGACTGTGGCGCCATCCAGCCCAATGATGGGTTATTTATTTTCATTTATATTTTTTCTGCAAGTGCGGACACAACAAATTAGAACAATTTTGTTTAAAAAATTGCTTTTTAAATTTTGCCAGAATAATAACTTTTTTTACTTTTAAATCTTCTATAAATAATATTTTATTTAAATTGGAGACCGGACTGGGATTGTCTTACGAGAATCGAGATCTTGTTTAGGTCCTCCTCTAATTAAAATTATTCATGTGATAATCGGATGTACATATGTCCGCTTAAAGGGTAAATGTCGGGCAAGCAACTAAAAAGCATTGCCGCAATAAATACAATAATGTGTTTTGACTTTTAAGTTAATAGCTGTATTAAAAATACAAAAATATATTTTCGGACAAATCAAAGAAAAATTAAAAAGTCCATTTTATATTTGCGGGCAAACATAAAAAGAAAATAAAATAAGTTGCGTAAAAGGTTAATTTTGTAAGCCAAAAATTAAAATCTGACAGTCTAGACATTTAAAATAAAATACAGAAAATTCTGTTTTTAAAAGGGAATTTTTAAATAATTTTATTCACTTTTTTGCTTTTTTTTTTAAATTAATTAAATGAAATCTTTAATTTGGTTTTTGTTTTCTTTTAATTTTGTTTGCGGAATGAATAAAGGGAATAAAGGTAGAAATAAATTAATTAATAAAAATTAAAATTAAATCTTTTAAGGCAAAGCTAAATTAGAAGAAGGAAGTCTGCCTTAAATTTAAATGAAGAAAACATCCCTAAAACCAATCGTGATAAGAAACTTTGTTTAACAGAACTGTCCGTTCTAATTCTAATTTTGAAGGAAATTTCTATTGAAAAATTAGAAATGTTAGAAACGGAAAATGATTTAATTAATATACTAAAAATTTTTACAAAATTGGTCTTAAAAGATATTGGCGATTCTAATTTGGTTATTAAATTTGAAAAATTTTTTGGAAATGGATTTTATAATACTTTGACTGAGGTTGCTTGTTTTAATTTTAAAAAATAAATAAAAATTTTAATTTAATTATTTAAATAAAGATTATTGACAATTATACATTTATCTTCGAACAATTACAATCCTTCCCACAAGAAAATACTTTGAAATATAAAAATATTTTTATTATTTGGCATTTATTTGCAATTACCCGGAAGGTTATTCGAAACTTTGCTTTGTTTCATAATTCTAATGATTACTACAAAGAAGAATTAAGAAAGTATATTTATGAGACAAATAATTTGTTAGTAAATAAATTTTGAATATTTTTTTTTAAATTCTTTTAGTGAAGAAATTTCCATGTTTGGCTATGCTGAGGCTTATGATATTTTTGAAGTCAAAGCAAATTTGTTTATGAATGAATTTAGAAAATCACGCTATTTTTACATGCATTATGGAAAAATAATTTATGAAGATGATGGAATTAGTTAGCTAAAAATATTTAAAAATAATAATTAGATATGAATTAGTAGATAGAAAGGGAATTTTGTTAAAATTTTAAATTTTCTGATTAAAAATTTAAATTAAAATTTTGTCAAATTTTATATCGAAAATAAGTCAAGATTTTGACTAAAAATTATTTTGACAAATTAAAAAAATAAAATCTGGTCGCTTTTAGACTTATTTCAAAAGTCCAATACCTATAAATATTGCTCTTTTTGTATTTAATTAATTGTTAGAGTTGCAGGGAAGTTAGAATATATATTAACATTTTTAGAAAAAATTGTAAATTAATTTTATTTAGATCTCATTAATTTATCACTTCAAGCCGCAGAAATGTCAAACAATATAATATACAATGCTGAATTTGAGCCTTATAAGGAAATTGAACGCCTTCCTCAAATGGGGCATTTTTGGCCTTTAATTTATAAAAATAAAATTGGTAAAAATTTAAAATTTTTCCCATAATGGATCCGTGTCGAGTGTTGAGCTTTGAATACAAACTGTTTTGTTCCGTGCATTTTTATTTCATTATGGGAAGGGCAAAAAACACTTGACACTCAACACAAATGTCGTTGTCGGGGCCATTTTAAAATTTTATTTTTATTTTAAAATTTCCAGTTCACAACACTGAATTGGTTCTAAATGAATGTAAAAAGATTACAATAGAGACGTTAGACCCAAATTCACTCAAGCCAAAAGTCCCTTTTTATGTTTTCTTTTACAAATTGAAGAAGGAAACAAAGGATAAATTACAACAGACAATAATAAATAAATATTTTATTAAAAAATTTGTTAATGAATGTGTTAATGAAAGAAAGCCTGAATATATTGATGAAGATTGTATTGAATTTATTCCAATGCCGAAAAATTTATTGGCCCCTCCACAGGCACATTTAGAACTTGTTAAAGAAGTAAAATTTTAAATACATTTTAAAAATTTGTGGATTGTTGAAGTATGCAGATATACTTTCCTTTTGTATTTTAGGCTTTAGAAATTGGTTTTAAAAAATATATATTTACATATACATAATTAAATTAGAGTAGCACGAGGTCGAGGCCTCGCCGAGGCCGAGGCCGAGGTCCTCGGCGATTTTTCAACCTCGACCTCGATTTTGCCGACCTCGGGCCTCGGAACCTCGTCTCGGTCCTCGCCCTGAATCTCGGTCGAGGACCGAGGCTAAATATACACCCCTAAGAATTGCTTTTTTTTGTAAAAAATGGAAGTAATATGGTGACTTACCTTCCAAAATTCTCAAAATTTTCGCCTGCGGCGCAGAAAAAGGAAGATTTTTGGCTTCATAGCCTTCCAAAATTTTCAAAAATTTCGCCTGCGGCGCTAAAAATGAATAAATCTGACTTTATGGCCTTCCAAAATCTCAAAATTTTCGCCTGCGACGCTGAAAAGGGAAGGCTCAATCCTCTGTATACACTATATCCCCACAAATCCATGATATCCTATCCACTTACATTCAATTATTGGAAGCCAAGTCCCCTTATACTCTCCTTTGATCCTCCCACCCATATCCGTCTAAATCCAGTCTACTAAATAATCAAATAGTATCGAATTAAAGACCAAGGAATCATATCTCTACCATTTTCAGCGCCGCAGGCGAAAATTTTTAGAATATTGGAAGTCAAGTGCCAAATTTCTCCCTTTTTAAAGCGCCGTTGGCAAAAATTTTGCGAATTTTAGAGGCCCAAGAAGCCAGTTTTTTAAAATTTTAAAAATAGAATGTGGAAATCAAAAAAGTTCAATTCTTAGGAGTGTAAGTTTCTAAAAGCTCAAAAAAGTCAAGACCAAGACTACACTCCAAGACCAAAACCAAAAAAGCCCAAGAGTCTTGGACATCTCTTTGGGCAGCTACTGGGTATGAATCAGATGTAAAATATTAATTTGATAAATATTAAGCAAATATTTGAAAAATCTACTAAATTTAACTAGATTTTGAAAAGTTTTAAAATTTTTTAAAAACCTCGGTTATCCTCGGTCCTCGACCTCGGTCTCGGGTCAAAATTAGCCCCTCGACCTCGATCTCGGCTTTTCCTGCCTCGGTGATCCTCGGTCTCGGTTTTTTCAAAAAACCTCGACCTCGTGCTACTCTAATTGAAACAAAGGAAGGAATAATTAAAAAAAGAGATTAAATAATATTTTTTATCCTTTCTATTTTTCATTCTTTGTTAGAATTTATAATGGAAATTAGTACCTATTATTATATTAAATACAAGTAATTTTTAATAATTTTTTTCTCTAACTAGTATTTCTATTTTTCTTCTTTTTTCTTATTTTAGAAATAAAAACTTTTATTTTAAAGTCACAAGTCTGCATATCCTAAATCAGGGCCATTTATCTGTTTATAAAGTCACACTTGGTTTTAAATACCCTCAATTTTAGATAAAACTTTAAAATACAATTTTTTTAAATTTGTTTGCTACTTGGCGTGGAGATCTGAAAAATTGAAAAAAATTAAATTAGAATAGAATAATTTTGAGGTTGAAGACTATTTAGTTTTAGTCAAATCACCCAATTTAATTCCAAACTATCTGGTTCTTCCTCCAAATCCTCCTACGTCCTTCCAAACCCCTGATATCCTCCTGATCTGAAGAGACTAAAAGAATCTAGAAAAGTTATGAAGAGATTGTTGACTGGGTGGGCCGATATCAATCTAAATAACCAAGAGATTTGCTCGAGATATCGTCTCGGTCCAATACAATTTTTCATTTTTACGGAAATTATTATGTAGTCTAAATACTTCATTTATATTTCCTGAATTAATATTTACATACATATTAGTTTTTAAATTATTATTTTTTTAATTATTAGTTTAGTCTTCATTTTGATATAATTTTTACATTTTTTTTAAAATTTACTTTTTTATTTTAATTAAAAAAGAGAGAATAATAATAATTATTATTTACCTTACAAATTCTTTTTTATTTTTTAATTTTCATTTAAATAATTTTTTTCAATATTTTTAACACGCGCGGCTTCTTTTCTATATAATTTTAAATAAATTGGATGGATTGATTTTGCCAACAGACTTAATGAGTTATTTTATCTCTTTACTTGTTTAGTAGTGCTTCCCCCCACCATTTTTTAAGCAAAAGAAGATAAAATAAAATAAATATACCTTTTTTTACAACAAAAAATAAATCCAAGCAACGAGAGGAGTATTTAGAAGGAGGAGAACACGTTTGAGAGAAGAGTCTCTTTTTAATAAATAAAAAAATATATATAAATTATTTTTTATTTTTTTTCTTTCAATGGCTTCATCAAATTTAAGAAAGCAGATAGAAAGTATTAAAAATATTGAAGTAAATTTATTAAATGAAGAGAGAAAAATAAATAATCCTCCTTCTAAGGAAGGTGGGGACAACAACCAAATAATACTCATCAAATCCTTTTCTAACCCTTCTTCTTCTTCTTCATCCTCTTTATCATCTCCACAACAAACTCTCCCCCCTTCAACAACCGTTGTTTCATCTTTTAATAATAATTCTTCCGTTCCCGTCCCTACTGACAACAACAATTATTTAATTAATAATTCTGTTAACAATAATATTTCCGAATGTTCTGCTATTGTCTTAAAAAATAATTCTTCTTCTTCCGGTGAAACAAAATCTTCTTCACTTCTTCCTCTACAAAAAATTAACGATACTTCCTATTCTGTTGAAGCAACCTCTTCCTTTAAACTAAACTCATCCTCCTCTTCCCATACTACAAACTCATCCCCTTTGGAAACTTCTTCATTTACTCAATTAGACACTCCTCCCCTTCAAGAAAATTCTATTAAATCCTCGTCTACAGTGTCTTCCAATTTTTCCAAAACTTTTTCCTCTACAAAATCTCCAGCTCCAGATAATTCTTCTTCAACACCTCAACAACCTTCTCCTTCGCCCTCCTCCACAGTAAATTTTGTTCCCCGTCGCCGTCCTCGCCACATCTCTGGAATTGGAGGAGGCCGTGTTCGAATTTTGGGAGTTCATTCAGAACCGGGCTCTTTTGCTTTAGAAGAATCTCCATTAGAAGAAGAAGAGCTTTTAATATTTAATAAAAGCGAAGAAAAAACAGAAAAGGATTTATTAGAAAGCCATTTAATATCCTCTAAACAAAAATCAAATAACTTTAAAGGCAGAAGACAGCTTAGCGCAATGTCCAGCCTTTATAGACAAGTTAGCTCTTAAAAGTTTTATTCGAAAAAAATAAATTATAATCCATTAAAAAGGAATATTTTTTGCGTGGGTATACCTCTACATTCCAAACAATGTTGGCAGTTCCGAAGATCATAAAAGGGAAAAGTTCGGGTACCTAAAAATCTTAGGTTCGAATCCGGAAATTTTTCAGGGAAATTAATAACAATTATATTCCTTGATCTTCAAATTCCCCCAATACCTTACTATAATTCCAATTGGTGTAGTCTTTTTCAACCCAATTTTTCTTTTTAATCACCTAAACCTTCAAAATGTCTATCAAAAAATTTAATTAAAAAATATTTTTCACTTTCGCAGGCAACAATCGGCGCCGCAGCCGCCTCTGTATTTAATTCTACAGCAACAACAGTAGCTAATGCCCTCGAATTTGTTTCAACTGTAGAGCAACAACAACAGCAACACCCAAATGTCCCTCCTCCTCCCCAAAATTCTCGTTCTCAATCACCAAATAATAATTCTTCTGGTTCTATTTCTGATAATAATAGCTGGTCACCTGGCGGAAATAAAGCTATGAGGAAATTTAAAAAAGAGGTGAAGACTTTTTTAAAATTACTATTTTAAAAATTAATATAAAAAATTTAATCAATTTAATATTATTTACTAAAAATTATTTTGAAAATAATCATGTAAATTATATAAACCAGAAAAGTTAAAAGTTAGGTTAAGAAAAATGCTGAGTAGTTGGTAACACAGCCTGATATGTATCACGACAATATCAGATGTCGTAATTCCTGACGATGATTACGGACGACGATTTCGGATATAAGATTTTTTAAAATTATTCAAATGAGAGCCTGTTTTTTAGTCCAGGCTGACTGTTTTCGAACCTTAGCGGTTTCAGGATGATTTCTGCATTGATGTGTCAATGAAACTTTTAAAGAATCTTTAATTTTTTAAATTTTTATATCCGAAAATGTCGTCGGGAATTGTTAACTCAAGAATCTAACCTATCTCTACTAAGTATATTTTTATGTTTGTTGAATAAACCTTGCTTTAAATTATAAGAAGTTTTGTCCTTTTATTTACCTTTGGTTTAATCTAATTAGAATTTTATTCAGAAATTAAAAAATACATTCAATAAATGCGCGATAATATTTAAATTAAAAATTTTTAATAAAATTCATTTTAAATAATTTTACATTAATTTGTAAAAATATATTTAAATATATTGTCTACTTTGTAAGCTTAAAAATTAATCTTAAAAACAGAATTTTATTTTTTAAAAGCTCAATTTTGTTAATTAAATTTTTTAAATCAAAAAACATTTTATATATTTAATTTTTTTAATAAAAATTCCTTTCTTTTCCCTCTCTTTTTATTTAATCTCCTTTAAATAAAAACGTTTAAAAATTATTTAAAAAATAAAAATAATCTTTTTAATTACCACCCACATTTTATTAAATTAATAAAAGGTGATAATTAAATATATAAAAATTGAGATAAAATAAAGAAAAATAAAATTGTAAGTAATAAATAAAAAATTAAAAAAATAATTTAATTATTATTTGTACATTTTCTCTCTATATGTAAATAAATAGCTCAACTTTCCTAAATTCCGAGTCGGGCCATTTTGGCAACCCTACTAGTTATAATATACTTCCACCAGTTAAATTTTAGTCTCTAATTTATAATCGGTTGGTCACTGTTTGGAGGATATATGTAGGCTCAATCTATACCTATACTTTATTGTGTAACTCTTTATACATTTTTAAATTTGTCATTTTTTATCTATGCTCTATGCCTTTTTTTAGATTGCTATTTTTTCATTCCTAAGGATATAGTAATAAATTATAGAGATATTCAACTGTATTCACAATTTTAAAATTTTATTTTTTTAATTTAGAAAATCTTAAAATGTATAAAAATGTAGAACTATCAAACAAAATAAATTTGTCATTTTTTAATTCTTTTCTTATTAAATTTATCTTTCATGTTTTATTTTTGATTACTAAAATATTTTAAATACAGGATTATTTATTTATTAAATGTCAGAACAGAGAATATCTTTAGATATATTTTTAATATTTTCATCATTTTAGAACATATTTAAAGTGTTTAAACTTATCTCCCTCCATTAACTCTCTTCAAATACCTCTCTCCTCTCCCCCCCCCCCCCCCCCCAACCCCCTACCTCCCTCCCACATTCTTTAATAGCTTTATTATTTTTTAAACCAAGCTTTAAATTAATCCTTTAAAATATTTACACAAACATCTTTTTAGTTATTTTGGAAGTAAATATATGGGCGGCCACATTCCATTATATATTAAATGTTAAACATTCCATTATTTGATGTTAATTAAATAAATGGGGGTGTTTAAATATATATAAATAATTTTTATATTTTATTTTCATTTTTAGTTTTTATATAAAATTCTTTCTAGTTTATTAAAATTTATTTTTATAAATTTTTTGTAAAACTTTTGCTGTTTTAATTTTACTTCCTTCTAAAGTTTGTAGCAAGCATTTTTAATTCCTACAAAAATAAGGAAAGAACTACTACATTATTTTCTCGAATAATTAAAATGAATAATTTTTTTATTTTCCGCTTAGTTAAAGTAAAGATTGGGGAATAGTCTATAAGAAATTTTCAATATCCGAAACCAAACAATAATAATGGAACAAATTATTAGATAATTGGTAATTAATCGAGAAAAAATTGAAATATTCAATATATGTACTTGTCATATTTTAATAAATTTAGTTTACAAAAATTAAAAGCTCTTACATTGAATGACTTATAAATAACTTTAGTAACCAATAATTTTTTGAACAAAAAGCTTTCAATAAAGATATTATCTATTATTTTCTCTTAAAATTTCAACACAAAAATGCTTATTACTGAAAATACTGAAATTATTGTACATCCCCGAATTAATGAAATGATATTTAATAAATCAAGTTTAAATGATTTTTATAAAAAGGTAAATAAATATTTGTTTTGGAATTAGGGAAAACTGCACATATTTTAAATTAAATCGCTAAAGGTGGCTGGATAAAAAAAAATTTTTTTAAATTTCTTGTAGCTATGTTTAGGAATATTTTGAAAATAATTTTTTCAAATAAAAATCCGAAATTTTCTAGGCCCCCAATTTACAACAATGTACAACCTCTTCAGAAGAAGGCTCACAAATCGACTTTTCTTCCCCTTCAATTTCACGTACAAATAGTGCCCAATCAATTCCCGTCCCTATAAAATCAGTCACAGATTCTGAAGAATTATCTCCCTACGAAAAAACAATAAAAATGTTGGCAAATGATTTGCAATGCCAAAAGGAATTGGCTTTGGGTAAAAGAGTTGGATTTTATCGTTTGGGAAAGGAATTGGGTGCTGGCAATTTTTCTAAAGTTAAATTGGGTGTTCATGTACTTACTAAAGGTATTTTTAATGAATAATTAATTTAAAGGGGGGCGAGAAGGTCAAAAATGGGGCAAATGCCTCCGAAATGGGGCAAAACGGCCACACTGTGTGTTATGCTAAGGTACCCAGAAAAGCAAGACGCCAGCGGAAACGCTGGTTTTTCTGGGTACCTTAGCATAACACAGAGGTTGGCCCTTTTGCCTCATTTGGGAGACATAAGCCCCCTTTTTGAGAAGCCATGCATGTGATTTGGAAAGTGCCACCCTGATAACACATAAAAATCTTTTTAGGATTTTATAAGGAATAAGAAATACATAATTAAAAGTCGTTCCAAAAACTTATTAGAATTTTTAACATAAAATTTATTTAAATATTTTTTAATTTAAAGAAAAAGTAGCTGTAAAAACAATGGAAAAAGGAAAAATGGATCAAAAAGCTCAACGAGTTTTAAACAGAGAAATTGATAATATGGAGTTATTACACCATCCAAATATTATTAGATTATTTGAAGTTGTGGCTACATTATCTAAAGTCCATTTAGTTATGGAATATGCGGGGGGTGGGGAATTATATACTTATGTACATGATAATGGAAAATTGACTGAAGAAGTTGCTAAACCTATTTTTGGTTTTTTTAAAGGAAAATAAAATTAAATAAAAATTAAAAATTAACAGCCCAAATAGTCTCAGCAGTTGCCCACCTTCATTCAAAAAATATTTGTCATAGAGATATTAAAGCAGAAAATGTTTTTCTTTCACATCCTGGTAACTCTTAATTAGTTAATTAGATTTAAAAAAATTAAAAAAAGGATGGATAAAACTTGGAGATTTTGGGTTTAGTTGTAAATTCGAAGACGATTCTTTTTTAAATACTTTTTGTGGTTCTCCCCCATATGCTGCACCTGAATTATTTCGAGATCAAGTAAATTTATTTTAAAAATATTTTTTAAAATAATTTTAATTTATTTTTAAAGAAATATATTGGCCCAATGGTTGATATTTGGGCGATGGTAGGAAATTTAAAAAAAAATATTTTTTTAATAAAATTAAAATATTAAGGGAATACTTCTTTATTTTATGCTTGTTGGTGTTACCCCTTTTCGTGGAGAAACTGTTTCTGATTTAAAAAGAAATATTTTGGAAGGGGTTTATTATATGCCTGATTATGGTAATTAAATTAAAGAGAATATTCAAAAAAATTATTTCAAAAAAAGTTTCAACATTTGCACAACATTCAATTACTAGAATGCTTGAATTGGACGCTAAAAGAAGGGCTAATATTTTGGAACTTAAGGTATTTAAAAATATTTTGGAAGTGACTGAAAGTTGAGAGAGAATAAAACAAACGTTGTATTTTAGAACTAGAGATCGAGCTGGGTTTGACCTTCCTGGGTTTTTCCTGTACCCAGAGTCCAGGCCCCGGCATTTTTTGACCTTTCTGGGTTTTTCCTGGGCCTGGGTTTTTCCTGGACTACAGGCCCAAGATCCAGTCCAGGTCAAAAATCAAAATCCAGAGTCCAGGAACTGGTCCAGACTTTTCAAAATTTCCGACCTCTACTTAGAACAAATTCCATCTAATATTTAGTGTGGCAGTTACTTAAAAAAATTTTTCAAATTAAAAAAAACATGAAGACAACAGTTTATTCTCTTTTTGGAAAAATTTAAAAATTCCATTTAAATATTAAAAATAAATTTAATTAAATAATTTAGAGAACATATTGGCTAAGTGAATGTAAATTTCCCGATTCTTATGTAAATTTGTCTTTAAATCCAAATGAGCATTCATTGGCCCATTGTAAATTGGAAAGACTTGTTTGGTCCCAATTACAAAGTTATGGAATAACAGAAGAAATGCTTAGAAGTGTTGCTAAAAGTAAAGGAGCTAGAAATCCTGTTATTGGTTAGATTTACTTTAAATTAAAATATATATTTACATAATAAATTAGCTGATCGTTGTTCCCTCTCAAGTTAAGGGTGGTTTTTAAATTCCAAAAAAATATAAAATTTTTTTGCAATACTTCTAAAATAATTTTACAACATCAAATGCGAGAAATGCTTGGTTTTAGTATTAATCCAATAGAAACGGCCCGGGGTTCGGGCGCAACACTATCACTATGAGACTAGGAACAACCTTACATAGAAAATTCAAAATTCAAAAAAAAGAAAATTCAAATTTTGAAAATAGACTTATTTATTTTTTAGGAACTTATCGTATTACTCTTTATCAATGTCAAGCACTTGATAGAGATAAAGAAAGGGCTAAGGTAAAAAATAAAATTGAAAAAATTATTTAAAATAATATATTTTAGTTAAATGAGCATTTATTACAACTTGCTGAAAAGAATAATTTATTGGCGGGTAAAATTGATGAACGAAGCAAAGCTTGTATAATAATTTAAAAAGCCAAATTAAATTTTTTCTAAAATGTAAAGTGCCCAAATTTTGTCTTTTTCATTGTTTCTAAAAATTTTAATCTAAAAATTTCGAATGTCGATTTTAATATGTACTAAAAAATCGCCCGAAACGGCTCAACTAGATTAAACGCTCAAATATATAAAATTCATCTCCATGATTAAAAATTTTGGTATTTTGTTCATAGTTCGTCCGTGGCGCGAACTTTGCGGACCCGAAATTTGCGGAACGAAAGTTGCGGACCCGAAGGTTGCGGACACGAAGTTTACGGATCTGATTTTTGCGGAACCAAGATTTTAGGACCGACACTTGAGTAAAAAGAAAAAATTAAAAATTTTATTTTTCGATGATCCCGGCAGAGTTTACCATGATCCGTACCAGATCAAGATTTTTTCCTGATTTTTCAAAATTTTTATCAATTTTTTATCTTTAAATTATTTCATAATTTAAACAATCGAGAAAATTTCTTGAAGAAATCATTTCTATGGCCATCTCATAAGGTCATTATGCCTGAATTCATCCTAATTAACGCCGCAGGCTAAAATTTTTGAAATTTCCGGGGTTCAGTAGACTCTATTGTCGGTCTCCAAATTTTTGGTCCGCAAATTTTAGATCCGCAAAATTCGGGTCCGCATAGTTCGGGTCCGCAAAATTCGTGTCCGCAAAGTTCGGGTCCGCAAATTTCGGGTCCGCAAATTTCGGGTCCGCAAATTTCGGGTCCGCAAATTTCAGGTCCGCAAATTAAATTCCGCAAATTTCGGCGCGCCATTTCGTCCCCACCCTTTTGTGAGTCTCAGATTAATTTTCCTCTTATTCTTTTCTGCCTGGGAATTGTCAACTTTCCTTTTTTATAAATTTTTGCTGTTACCGTCTATTTTTTCCTTCCTAAAAGCTTGCATTTTACTTATAGTATTTGAGGGAAATGAATGATTGGCAGTAAAAGGAAAAGTAATCTGAGACTAAAATATGGGTGAGGGAGGGGCGGGATATGAACAAAGTAACAAAAATTTTTAGTTTACCCATCTAGAACGAAGTTTTTAACGTTTTTGTCATTACTTAAGCAAATTAGATAGACTATCTGCGATTGTAATGTCTGTTATGTAGTTTTTGGGTATTGTGACTTATAGGGGGGTTTTTGTTGGCTGGATCGATTTGGACAAATGAGGTGTCATTCGAAAGAGCTCGCCGAGCTGAGTCGATTGCGGGGTGATAGAAGTCGATCCCACAACCAGGGACCGATATATAGACCCCTGAAGTTTGAAAAAGAGAAGGGGGGAGCAAGCTCATTTTGGGGCGAAAAATTCAAAAATGCAAATAATAGCTCATTCGACTATGCTCGTCGAGTCGAATGACACTAAAATCAACGAAACACTAAAATCATTTTGAACCTGTTTATCTTGGCTCAGAATCAAGATATCGAGCTGATTTAGGTGTCATTCGACTCAGCTCGACGACTGAGTCGAATGAGCTATTATTTGCATTTTCGAATTTTTACCCAAAATGAGCTTACAACCCCGATCTTTTTCAAACTTCAGGGGTCTGTATCTCGGTCCCTGTTTGTCGGATTCACTTCTATCACCCCGCAATCGACTCAGCTCGGCTAGCTCTTTCGAATGATACCAAATTTGTCCAAATCGGTCCAGCCAACAAAAACCCCCTATAAGTCACAACATTCTAGTTTTTAATTAAATTAATTATAATTTGTGTTTTTTCAAAAACTTAGCTAATAGTAGTACTTCAATAATATTCACTAAAACCTTCAGTAATTAATTTATTTTAAATTTTCAACAATTTTTTTTAATTGTTCAAAACAATAATCAATTATTTTTATTTATTGTAAAAATATTTTTTATCAAAAGTTCTTCAAATTCAAAACAAAACTTATGTCGAACCACTAACACTCGCTCCTGTAAGCGCCTCCAACAAGTTGTCTGGATGTATTCCACGCGTAATAGCATCTTCGTTCTGAAAGAGAATTTTTATTTTATGTATATTAAATTATCAAACGAAAACATACCATCTTAGCAATATTTTCTTTCAAATAACACAATCCCTTCATATCATCAAATTTTTGTTGATAAGCCTGCTTTCGTTGTTTTGTAATAACAATGGCATCTTCCGACAAAGTCTAAAGAAAATTAAAATTTTTCTAAAAAATATTTTTGATAAAAATCATAAAAATAATTCAGAATTATCGGACATTTATCTATTAAATAAAATTATTCTTGCCAAATCGTCCAGAAGACATTCGTGATTAGGAGACTTGGCAAAGAAGCATTTGTGCTAAAGAATAAAATAAATTGAATTTATTTATTTTAGGTATAAAATTGGATGTTCGGAAATATTATATAAATTTTTTAAAAAAAAATTAATAAAGAATACATAATTAAATACCGAGATTTTAGCAAAGCAAGACAAAATAACACGGCATTCTGGAGTGATATTTAAAAATTCAAAAGATTTATCGATTGTTGCAACACTTAGAGGACCGTCATCACCAGAAAAAACGAATCCCTAAAATTTTAATAAAATATATAGTAAATGCTAATAAGAGGATTCGATGGTAAAAATATTTATTTTACCATTAATTTTAAACCAAGATATTATAATAAATAGTAAACTATCTCAGACTATGTTAATTTTTTAGATAAAACACGTTCCTATCATTTAACATGGTAAGTTATTTAACTTTTCGGTACTTTATGGATATGTCACCCCCCCCTCCTATTTTGAGTCTCAGAGTTTTCCTTATGCGTAGAAAATGGTCAGAGATTATTTTCGACTCCATGTCAATTTTTAATTTCTTCAAGCAAAATAAGTGAAATGTGGAAATTAAATGAGTGAAATTAATCAAAAATATGTGAAAAGGCAAAATAAATAAGCAAAATACTTGAAGAAGAAAAAAATGATTGACATGGAGAAGAAAATAATCTCTGACCATTTTCTACGCATAAGGAAAACTCTGAGACTCAAAATAGGAGGGGGGTGACATATCCATAAAGTACCAACTTTTCATTACTGAGCTTTCACTAAGCCTGTCAAAAAACATTTTGTCATTGATATGAGACATAACCCGAATTTTGCCTAAAATGACTACTTGAACATAATTTTATATTTTATTAATTTGGGCTCACATCTGAAGAAAAATTTTTTTCATTTTTCAACTAGATCAGGGCTCATCACTTTTAACTCGTAAATGTTTTTGAAACATTTGGCAGACCTCTGCAATGTCCTGTTATGAAAGAGGACAATGTAATTGCCCCATATGAATTACACAGGAATCTACGGTTATTGATATTTTGGATTCCTTTACTGCTTCCTACCATTTAGATTCACAGTTAAAACAGTAAAATAAAAATTATACACACTTAGGCATTTTAAACAAAATTATCGTGCTGATAAAAAATGTCTCATGTCAGTGACGAAAGGTTTTTGAAGGAAAGTTTAGTGATTGAAAGCTCTTCACTTATTTAAAAAACTATACAAATTAGAAAAATAAAAGATAATAGCAAATTCACTAACTGTCATTCCATTCGTGGCCAAAATATCTGTGTAAAATTGTGCAGTGCCAATATCTTTACAGTTCTCAACTGTAACAATTCCATATCCATAGTTACTAGCCATATTCATAGCTTTATTGATGCATAGATTTCCAACAACAACTCCAGGCGCACCATTCCCATCGTAGTGAACAGAAACAACATTTTCACGAACAAGTAATGGCTCAGCTTGATTAAATTTTCAAAATTTTAAATCAAAATTTAATAAACCTTTCCCACTTTCCGATAAATACTTTTCAAGTCTTGTTAAACCCTGCCTAAAAAGTTAATTTTAAAAGATCAAATATAATTTTTAAAATAATTTACTTGTAAAAACCATTCTTATCGGCAAATATAATTATATCAGCTAATTGCTGTC